AGAGTCAGAGAACCTGGGTTCAAATCTTGGCCAATTGTGTGATTGAGGACAATCATGTAATACGAGGCACTAGTTTCTTCCTCTATAAAATGAAGTTTTCAGACTAGATAACAGCTATAAGCTGGAGAATATATCTTCCCAGACAAGCCATGGCTAAACTCTGCTATAAACAGATAATTCTTTTGGACTGGTCCTAGATTCCACATAGTAGCTACAATTCATTTAATAGCTTCAAGATCTGTGTAACCTATTACAATGTGTTGTACTTTGTGTGTGCTTGTCTCAAATGTCTGGAAGGTAGGAATGAACAACGCATAGCAGGCCTTTGAGGGCAAGGATGACTGCCTCATTGACCCCAGGAAAATTAAATACTTCTGTGAGCCCACCATATTGACAGAGCACCTTCAATAGATTGGTATAAATCAACAGATTCACAATATAATTAGTACATAATTAATTCAAGAATTAATGATGTAAATTCAAAGTTCTTCATATACAAATACATGGACAACCTATACTTTAGAGTGAGGAACTGAAAAATACATCAAATGAAAGAAAATGAATAACAAAAATTGTACCACGCTTGAAAAAATAACTATGACTCAAACATTTCAGGTGACAAGATGACAAGGACAAAGACATTATCTTTAGTTTTAATAATCATTTACATTCAAAACTGCAAATTGTATCATATCTCAAGGAAGATTACACTCTATATTGTTGCACATAAACACCAGAAAAAAGGTACAGAGCTTAGGCTGGTCTGTAAGATAAACTGGATACACTAATGCTTCAAGTTGGTAGAAAGCTATTCTGTATGACATGGATTATCATGGATTATTATTACGTATGTATTATTACGTATTCAATACCACAGAAAGCCTACATTTGGAGGGGAAATGCTAAATGCTACTTTAGGACCGCAAACTTGCAGAATACCATTTTAAAACAATGTATTGTTTTTTTTTTAAAAAAAAAAGCATGCTAACAATTTCAAAAAATGTTTAATCTGTTTCTAACCCACTCCTTAGAAATTTGAAGTAAGTCTACTCTTTCCTAATTTTTGTTTTGGCTCCACTGTACAAGCTTCTGTTGTGTAATACTAAAGCTGGGCAAAAGAAAATATGCTGGCAAAGATTTTTTTAGAATGGTTTTTCTTTTTAAAAGAAAATATTAAAACATTTGTTCAAGAACAGAAAGCCACAATATGGGCTTTCAAAAGGCAGTATCCCCATAGATGGATAATGGCAAAGACAGATTCATCAGTCATAACATGCTTTTTATTTTTAAACTATTTAAAAGTTCTTAAAAACTCATTTTTATCTTAACATACTATTTCTATATAGAACAAGGGTTCTTAAATCTGAGGTCTATGAACTTGTTTTTAAAAATATTTTGATAAATGTACTGCAATATTAACTGATTTCCTTTGTAACTTACACATTTTATTTTATGCATTAAAAATATTATTTTGATAAGGATTCCATAGGCTTTATCAGACTGTCAAACGGGTTCATGACACAAAAAGGTAAAGGACACCTGATACAGACAAAAGTTGAAATCTAAAGTAAAAAACAGTGTTCAGCCTCAGACACTTGACAATTACTAGCAGTGTGACTCTGGGCAAGTCACTTAACCCCACTGCCTGGTCAAAGGAAAACAAAACAACCCCCCCCCCCCCCAAAAAAAAAACCTATTAATTTTTATTTCTATGTATCTTAGACATTTTCATTTCTGAAATAAAATTTAGAATGCAACAAAAATAGGGTTGATTTCTTTATACTGTTTTTATGTTCTAGGAACTGGTCTTGGGGAGAAAATAGAAAACTACAGAAAGATGTTTAAGCCACTGGCTAGAACTTTTAAAATGAGGGCACTGAGGCTATGCCTACATTACAGACTTCCATATTAAAATTGAAATTTCATCAAATACTCCAAATTGTAAGTGTCCAAACACCTGGTTTCAGGAGGTCATGACAGAACATCAGCATATTTCATTCAGTTTTCCAGACTTCACCTGAGTGTTTAGTGTCAGTTTACTACCTGAAAAATAATGTTAATTTTTGTTTAAATTTCATGTTTAATATTTACAAAAATATGTAAGAGGTTGAGGAGATAAACCATAGGATTTGATTTTTTATCCCTGCCATTGATAAAATAAATGATTTGAAGGAGTTTTGCTTTCTATATGCTTTGATTTTTCAATTTGAAAATGAGAATAATTTTACTTGTCATTTCTTTAATGAGGACATTGTAAGAACTGAACATGTCAATTTTTGTAAGATTCCTGTAATTCAGATGAAATATGTTTTAGAATTTCAAGTGTTATTCTAATAAATGTGCAGCATTGGCAATAACCTAAGGTTTATGTTTATTTTAGAGAACTACTCTGACTAACCATAGAATAAAGGCACATAATACAAACCTGAAGTTGCATATCAGCTGCAGCACAGACCTTTTTAGATTCACAAAGTCGAGACACCATATTTTTTGGCAGTGCCTTGAAAAGAAAAATACCATAAGTACTGAGTAAATTATTGAAGAACACATTCGTTGCACTATATTTATTAGTCAGAATCTAAAAAATATCATCAAGTGAAACAAAATGCATAATGGAATTTTATACTTTAAAAATAATTAAGACTTAAATAATTCAGGCGACAAGATGACAAGATTAAAGACATTCTGTTTAACTTCCAAAAGTGGCAATTTGTCAACTGGAAGTTTACACATTCAGATACACTTTTAAAAGATCCATTTACAACCTCAAGGGTAAAGAAATATAGCATTATTCCTTTGTCATTTATGAAGCCCATTTAAACATTGTATCATCACTTTTTAAAGCACATCGATACAATAGTGGTAGGACTAAAATGTCAAAATGCAAGGAAATAAAGTTAGAATTGGGAGTGCCAGCCATACCTGAAACTGAGTTGTTGCAATTTCAAATAACTATAGTAATGAACTCCTACTTTCCAGCCTGAAAGAATGAAAATGCATATTTACTGGTCCATATACTGGACCATATTTATGATTTAATATAATTTATGGCTTCCTTCATGTAACTAATGAAGATTCATTCTCTATGCTGAAATGGGCTAAATAAATTATATTTATCCTCAGAAATAAACTAATTATTGACTTGAGAAAGTGTATTTTGCTTATCTAATATGCATAATCAAATTTATACTTTAAAAATAATTGTGATTTTTAAAATAATTTCCTTAGCAAGATGACGTTGTTGAAGACATATCTCCAAAGTATGGAAGCCAGGTGGTTAGAGTGCCAGATGTGAAGTCACGAAGACTCATCTTCCTGAGCTCAAATTTGGTCTACTAGCTATGGGACCCTGGGCAAATCACTTAACCCTGTTTGCCTCAGTTCCTCATCTGTAAAATGAGCTGGAGAAGGAAATGGCAAGCCATTGCAGTATCTTTACCAAGAAAACCTCAAATGGGGTCACAGAGTCATACACAACTGAAACAAAAGAAAAACAACTTCCAAAGTACAAGCTCTAGGTTAATTGATGTCAATCATTCAGCATTTATTTAACATTTCACATCATTTTACCAAAATAAAAAGGTACTATTGTGGACAACTATGCTTAAAATAGGAAATAAACAGGAATGATAAGTCAATTGTTGATTATTTCAAAGGATATATTAAGTAAAAATTGCAGGAAGACATGCTAGAACTTGAAGAAAAACATAGATGATGGCAACCAATATGGACGCAAGGTAGAGGGGAAGGGATAGGAGGAAAAAAATTAAGAGTACCATTAATGCCACCTCAAGATATAGACAAAATAATGAAAATTTGTTAGGACAAACCAGAAGCCACATGCCTTGGCACAGCACTGGGTACCACAAATCCAGGAGTACCATAAATAAATAAAAGCACAGTGTAAAGAATAATTTGACTAATTTTTAGAGACTGACCAAAAGGATTCATAAGAAAATAGGAAAGGATTGATAGGAAAATGTTACTTTGATAATGATAATTTATCATCAATACCACAACGAACATTGCCAAAAAGTATTTAAATTTCAAAGGTAAAATCCTACATTTGGGTTCAAAAATAATTGCAAAAACATAAGATGAGGATTATAGTTAGATAATATTTCATGTGAAAAAGATCTGAAGACTTTAACTGAACTTCATTATGCTTTAACAGTGTGATATAATAGCCAGTGAAGGAATGCGATCTTAGGCTGCTTTAACAGAAACAGTGTCTAGACTAAGGGAGGCAATGGTCATGTTGTCCTCTCCTCTTCTCAGACCCAGTATGACTGTCTTCAGTTCTAGGCTACTCATTTTAGGAAGGACATTGACAAAGTCCAACAGCTCAAGTGGAAGATAACCAGAGTGGTAAAGTGACTATAGATCCCTGAAAGAACTGGGAAAGCAGCTAGGAGAACACTTAGGGGTAGAAAAGGCATATCTTCAATTATTAGAAGGGCTATAAAATAGAAGAGGGGAAAGACCCAGCAGGCAATCATTGGCACCAAGATGTCTGTCTCTCTTTCAGTCTTGCCCTGTATTGCACCTTAAGTTTGTATCAAGGTATGGTGACTTGAGCAGTTAGCTGACTAGTAGAAAAAAAAAAAAAGTAACAGACTGGATAGAATACTCTTTTTCTCTTAGTTATACATTAGAGATATCCCTTTCACTGGATTCAAGTAGTCAAAACTATTTTCATGTGGAGATAGCTACCTCAACTTTAAACATAGTATCTTTAAAAGAATTGCCTTAAAAGCCCAAAACTATAAAATAACAATAAACATCAGAGTCTACTTATACAAGATTCTCTGTTAAGCATTATTGTTAAGAAACAACTGTAATAATATAATTCTTGTTTTCGTGGTGCTTAATCTAAACCAGACAATATAAGGAAAAAACAAAAAACAACAAAACATGTGTAGAGATAAAATTATAATCAGCTAACAGATCTATTTTTAGGGCACTGTAGGGGGTATAAGAATACGACGTGGTCTGCCCCTCACCTTTAACAAGCTAACGACTTCAGTTGGCGTAGAAAACCCTATAATACAAATGAAAAATTATTCGATAACACAAGGCAGGGAATAAGGGTCAAATACGAGTAGTGAAATAACTAATAAAAGAGCTATAGGATGGAACAAATGTCAAATTAATAAAATTATTATATCATCATTACATGGAAGTAAGGTGGCAAGTGCCTTTGTATTGTAGAGATCTTTCAGGTTAAATAAAGATATGCTATTTCCACATAGTTTAATTCTTGGGATAGCTCACTGGAATTTGGAAATGTACTATGACTCCAGGAATGGAGAACAGTATTATTTTCATTCTGTAGATAACATCTTCCATTGCAAAGTAACACAAATATCACCCTAAATGTCATAGAAACTGTTATTTCTTTTTAGTTTGTATATAAACTAATAGAGGTTAAAAAAGGGATAACGATTGCAGGTTAAATCTTGAATACTACTATTTAAAATTTATCTTCAAGTAAGAACAAGTGTTTATCAGCCAACAAATTCTTCTGTAAATATTGTTTTACTGATCAGTCTTGGTAACCAAATAACTCAATTCTTACTATAATGGCAAAAGTAGTAATGTCTACAGGATAGCACAGATGTTTTTTATTACAGTCTCCTAAACTTAAGACTTATATTTTATAATGTGTTGAAGTGATTGTGAACTAATACAACACAGCTTTCAGATATAGCCATGTGTATAGTTCCTATAATAAGTAAAAATATTATTAAAAGTTTTAACTGTTAGGGGAAAAAACAGTACCATAAGGAAAGCCTGAGGTTATGAGCTTCAAAAAAAAGTTTGTACCATCCACATGCAGCACATGATCCATGCCAAGAAAAAGGTGAGTAAAGTGAGTAAATAATATAATTGATTCTTATTTGGGGCAATGAGTAATAAAGTTCATATACAAGGCATGGCTGCTATCTAGGTGACTCTATAGTAAGCAAGAGTAAAAGAGCAAAGCAGTCACCAGCCACAAAAAAGAGGTGTAACTAAATAATTTTACTTTGGGTAACAATATTCTGGCAGAGACAGTACTCTACACCTAAGCATCCACTCTTCTTCCAAGGGAAAACAGTCACACCAGACTACCATTGAACTCCTGCCCTACAAATTAAGTGGCTGACTTCAAATAAGCCAACATGTCCTAACTAACTAACTAACGCAATTGAACCCAACCAAGAAGAAAAGGGTTCAAGAGGATGAATGCCTCTGACTCAAATGGACCTCCTTTGCTAGGGAGGAAACATAACATCAATAGTGTGTGGGGCCTAGATTAAAATGGGTAAGGTTGATCTCTGGGACTAATCAAGATGGTCATGGTTACTCTTTAAATACTCTGCTCATCAGTATCAAATGAGAAGCCAGGCCAGTCAGAATACATAGAGATTCTCAAGTTTTCCCCATAAATTCTTCCTATATCTAAACACTGCATTAAAGTTACAAAATCTAAAAATTGAGAGCTGGGAGAGGGCTTAGAGATTTTAGAATGCAATCCCCTACTTCTAATGATAAGGAGACTGAGGCCTGAAAAGGATAAGACTTTCCTGAGGTCACAAAGTTAAAAAGCAGCATAGCTAGGATCTGAAATCAAGTCTCCTAAATTTAGTGTTTCTTGTATTTCATAACATTTGCATAGTAAATCCCAGCATTATTGTAACACATCAGCTTGCAGGCTGTATTCTGAGGGTAGAGGAATGAAATGCTAAATAGTAGAACACTAAGGCTAAGGGCCTTCTCCAACCTTTTCCAGGTTCTCCAGGCTCTTCAAACTCTAATAACCCTGACAACTCTCATAAGTCTGGCAAAAGTGCCTCACTGCCCTGAGGTAGTATCACTTATCTACTTACCTTTCAATACTTAGTTGCGTAATCAATGCAATTTTGTTGTTGTGTCATTTCAGTCGTGTCCAATTCTTCATGATCCCACTTGGGGTTTTCTCAGCAAAGATACTGGAGTGGTTTCCCTTTCTTTCTCCAGCTCATTTTATAGATGAGGAACTGAGGCAAACAGAGTTAAGTGACTTGCCCAGGGTCACACAGCTAGTAAGTGTCTGAGGCCACATTTGAACTCATGTCTTCCTGAGTCCAGGCCCAGCACTCTATCTACTGTGCCACCTACCTGCCTGATTCTACTTCAGTCTTAATCTTCCTGTTCCAAAGTAGGGAATGCAACTACTGAATGATTTCAAAATTTCTGCTTCAGTAATGATTGACATATTGTTATGTCGACTATTTTTAAATAGTTCTGCTATTTTTTCATTTATAAAAGATTTTTTTTTAAAGTCATATGAATTCTATGGCATCAAAAGTAGTCTCACAATTAGTTATTTCAAGAGTTGGAAAATCTGATGCTTCCCCAAAGCAGCAAATAATACTGGACAATGAGTCAGAAGATGAGTTCTGCTCTGTGCTCTGCCACTACCAAGCTGTATGACCATAAGTAAGTAATTTATCCCCCTATTAGGACCCTAGTTTC